CAGCAAAACATTTTTTTCATCGAATGTTTAGTTTTTTTATTAACCTGAAAAACCATTTCTTCCGTTTAATGATTTTTTTTTAATGATGCACAGGATTCCGATGCACGTTCAAATTTAATATAGGATTTGTATTGTTACTATCTACTAAAAAAACAATTGAAAACAGGCATTCGAAATTCATGAAATTTTGAGGCTACGCATCACATGATTCTATCCAACTATTAGTTAACTATTAGTAAAGTATAAATATCCAAATGACGTACAACCCCTGCAAACTTTTTCACTGCGATTTCCAGATCAAATTAATTCAACATTCCAGATTTCGCATTTAGCAATGTCATTATATTGTGTAAAAGAAATTCTGTTTTATCACAAAGACAGTAAAAATAAAAATTGTTTGTTTAAAAATCAAACGTTATTGGAAACTAAAAAAAAAATGATTTTAGAATCAAGAATTTTAACTTTGACGTTTTATGTAATATAATGAAAAGGGGGAGAGTTAAGTCAGAACTTATGATCTTGTTACGTTGGGAAAAAGAAGGAGTCAATGATCAGTAATTTTTCATTACGTATACTATAAATAGTCGTTAAGATCACACAAATGTTTGTTATAAAACATAGTCAGAATAAACCGCGACGTAATTAAGAAAATACGAAGTAAAGGATGTTGAGACTTTTGGTTAAATGAATTAGCTGAAATGTCGGTAATTTTTCATAAAATTCAGACTAGCTCGAAAAAAATATGTTGTAGAAATTTAAAGAGTACCAATTGATTGTAATAAAATCGAACAAATATTTTTTGCATTCCTTAAATAAAAATTCGTTTAATTAAAGTAAAGATGCAGTATTTCAGCTATCCTCAAAATACTCCTCTTCTCCACGACGAACAGTGGTAACTAAAAAATCATGCAGTCTATTAGAGTAAAATTTATTATAAATTTTTGAGATTTTTGTTACTTGGAACAAAATGATTAATGAAAATAATATTTCTGAGAATTGGAATGATAAAAAAAGTAACATACACAAGAAGTAAGAATAAAAGTTAAAACCAAAATTATAAAAAAAATACTCTAATAAAAATGGTAAACATAACTATATGCGTAAAATCTCAAGGCTAAAAAACAAAGGGAAGATTCGTGATAGTTTAAGGAAAGCAACAATTAATAAACAGAAGTCATAAATATTATAAATTATAAGAAAATGTTAAAATACACCCTTATAAAATATTAAGCATAAGTTTGTGAAAACTATCAATAAATGATACTTTATCAAAGAAATTATATTTAAAAACTAATCTCTAAAGATGGATTTATAAATTTATCTAAT